ATAAATTTCTAATTTAAATAGGTCCTGAGATAATTTTTACTTTGCAGATGTTCTGAATGAGAAACCTTGACGAAGTATACGTTGCACACAAGTCAAAATTGATCAATGAAGTCCCATTCCGAAATGGATTTCACACAGGTTTGACAATTCAGACATAATGCTCAAGCAAGCAGACAGGGACAGCTGGGCCAGCAAGGGGATGAGATGAAAGCGCAAGAGTCCCAATTGTCGTTCACCTCAGATCATGGTGCCGATGACGTTGATCCTGTTTCCATACGGGGTCGCTTGCGAGATGGGCATGTAAAATCATCAGACCCCTCAGCTCCATCTCGTTTCTTTTGCAGGCTCTATAGATAAAAGATCAATCAGTATTCACTGTAAGTAGTAAGAAAAAGAGAAATAAACGTGTGACATATATAAGTACTTGCCTTTTTATCCCATTGCTGATGAAGGTACCTCAGAAGAATGTTTGTCTTTTCAGTTACAATAACTAGAATAGAGAAAGGCAGAAGGAATTGCATTAACAGTCCAGCAAAGACAACAATATGTTATAATTAACCACCAAAGAAATAGCAAAAAGTGTGAAAAGAGGGAAAAAAATCAAATACTCACTCTGCTCAGAAGGATATTCTTTAGTGGGTAAATATACAGAAGGTCGCTTTACACTGGTCCGACTTCCATTATCCGAATGGAAGCGTGTGAAGTTGCTTTCATTATAGGACGGCAGACCATTGAGGAATTCTGCGACAGACTGTTGGGACACAAGATATAATTAATGCTTAATTTACAACGAGTAAAATCCACGTCTAGTAATAAGGATAGTTATAAAGTTATGAAGAAATGGAGTCACAACAATATAACCTAATCTCTCACATAAATAACTCATTTTTTGAATTAGTCAGAAGGATTTAAAACCGAAAATAAATACAAAGAACAGAGCTACCAGCCTGATTTTAATGAATATTTAATGTCGTTAAATTTTAAAAATAAAACGAAAAGAAAAGTATTCTTTACAACGTTGAAGAAGTCAGATAGGTTAAAGCGTCTTTCTGATCTTTTGCAGGCATGACTGTTCAACTCACCATTATGGTAAATAAGACGGACACTTCTAGACACGTAAATATAGTATGTCACGTCTATTTCACAAGTGATCAAGAAGACGGACACAGAATTCTAGACAAATTTCAGTAGGGATCGCCTTCAACCAACTGCCTTTAACCCCACGAGATAACAGAAAAGGAATCGTGACGACGACAGTGTTTTGTTCACAACAATAAACAAGGGGAAGTGAATGCACGGTTTATACTGGCTACGATTGTCATTTATTGGATACGTTCTAGTTGAAAATCAGCCAATCAGAGGCCTCGAAAACCCACAAGAACGTATCCAATAAATGACAATCGTAGCCAGTCTAAACCGTGCAGAAGTCTTCGGTGGAAACTTGAAAGGGAGTGAGTGGTGTTTTCTAAATTTGTAGAAGTATTGCCCTTGAAACACTGAATCATTCGGAAAATTTAATTGATTGTGGTATCCGGCAACTACGTAAAATTTACCTCGCTCTGAATTTCATAATTATCTTGGTGTTATTTGGATTGCTTCTTCTTGTTTTTTAGAACATGCTCTATATATAAGTTGAATACTATAGATAGCGGTTTTAACCGTTCTTATGCGAAATTCAAAATGTTCAATCGTCGTTGTACTTTCTAGACGACTTTTCCATCAAATACTTTTCAAAATATAGTATTTGAAAAAATCTACCATACTTTATATTTGGTTAGGTCAGCAGCATAGCTGCACATGTACTCCTAAAAATGTTCTATTTTCTATAGTTTTGTTTTGTCATTCTTCAGTTTTACTCCTAATTTCTTGCTTTTGCTTTAGGTCAGGAGTTTCATTCATTACATTTTCAGTTTTGTTCACCTGTACCTCTTATATAATATTCTCCTTCTAGGCAATGAATCCAACGATTGAATTTCAAAAACAGATTAAAGATAATGCTGAAGATGTGAGAAAGTTTGTGACTGACTTGACTAACTGGGAAGAGGAAATGAAGCGAAAGGATTCAGAGGCTCGTACTGCACTGTCAAAGGAAAACGTAAATTTAAAGCTTCTGAAAAATGTTGTACACAATGTAGCAACTATCCATACTACAATTTATTGTATTTTTTGTTTTCACTTACAGTCTGTTCCACCTGTTAGAAACAGCTCCATGAAAAGAGACTCCTGTTCTGAAGGTTTGTCGGAAACATTGGAGGGGGTCAAGAAGCGAATTTCATCCAGTGATTATGCAGCCTGGGAGAAATTTGATGTGGTATGATAAGCCCCCTGTCTTTTACTTCCAATTAATCAGAGTAAATTACTAAGAGGACTCATTTTACAGGAAAAAGCTTGTGAGGAATTGGATGATCCTAAGAGCAAACAGGATTCAGAGAATGAAGAGGAGAAGCAAATCAAAGAAAAGAGATTGCGTGATGAAGCTAATGTTGAAAAGGAAAAGGTGTGTGCTTGCTCAAGTGTTCTTACCGTAATAATCTGTGTTTTACATATTTAATGTATCTATCCGCCTATCTATATTTCTAGGGGAACCAATTTGTAAAGAAAGAGAAATGGGACAATGCTATTGAGTGCTACAGCAAAGCTATTAAGTGTTATTCTCGTGATGCTATATTCTATTGTAACAGAGCTCTCTGTTTCCTAAAGAAGAAGGAGTAAGTTCTATTCTGCAGTCCTTTAATCACATTTAGCCATTGTTCTTGTTTTATATTAACTATCATTTTTGGTTTAGCTATAGGGCTGCAGAGACTGATTGCACTTCAGCTCTTGCTCTTGACAGCACCTATGTCAAAGCTCTGCACAGGCGAGGTTTGGCCCGGAAAGAACTCAATCAACTGGATGAAGCAGCAGTAGATCTGCAGAAAGCCACAGAAATAGAACCCAATAATACAGCTATTGCAAGAGACTACACTTCAGTCATGTTGAAAATAGGTCAACTCAATATTGATAGCATGTTGGTGAGTCAAGCTTGTACACATTTTATTCTTTTAAATGTATTTTTTTGTTTAATTTTCAATTCTATATGTTTGGAAAATTTTGTTTGAACATTTGTAGACAGAGACAATTCAGGCTGAGACAATCCAGACTGAAGTTGATTTCATTGTGGATAAAAAAGCAGACCCTATTTTGCCAGCAAAAAAACATAGGCCCTCAAACAGCACTCTAAAGGAACCATTGGATGGACCTGTAGTTACCGCTACCACAGTATGGCCAAAAGTAGACGATAGTGCTCTTATTGAGCCTGTCATCATTCCTCCTCATAGGCGTTCCAAGGTAAATATAAGTTTGTTTACCTTTTTGATTTTGAATACCATGAAATAGTCAAAACTAAACTTAACTGATCTAACCCAATAAAATTTTTATTTGTTTTAGAAACCACTACAGAGAATTCAAATACAAGAAGATGACATTGTTTCTGTAACTACATTAGATAGCAGGAAAGTGGTTCCTATTCCACCTTCCAAAAAGTCATCAGCTGATCACACACAAGAAGTTTTAAAAAATTCTTTAGATTCTAGACCAAAAGATATTCTCGCAACTAATAGTACTAAAGAAATTGTCAAACCCAAAATAGAGACCTCAAAATCTGAATCTACATCAACAAAAAGCACAGTCATTCCACCCACCCCAAAGCTAGAACTTTCATTGAGTACTGCTCCAAAAGTTGTTCCCAACACTCCCAAAAATTCTGTCCAGTTTCTAGCTGGCTGGAGGCAAATTTGTAAGGACAGCAATATGTGCTACCAATACCTTCAGGTGTGTTTTTGGAAATTAATTTTACGTTCAAAAAATACATTTTTACATCCATTTAGAATTTTTCTCTATTTTTCAGAAAATTAATGGAGAGGATTTTCCAAAAATTTTCCAAGATTCCCTAGATGGGAACATGTTAAGTCAAATATTAAAGGTGCTAGCACTAGAGTTTGTGCAAAGTAAAGCCCCTGTTTTAAGCTATATTCAGGGCTTAACTCGTGTTCGACGATTCCGAACTCTCACTTTATTTTTATCAAAGTCAGATAAAGAATGTAAGTGTTCTGCCCGTTCAACATATTTTATGTTTATTCCGTTTTGTATTTAATTTTTGTTCCCAGAAATTGTTTGCATGATGACATTATTTTCCTTTTCAGACTTGAATGTTCTATTCAGACACACTCAAGAACATGAGAATACTCCTTTGGAGACAATAGCCAGCTTGAAGAGTGATTATGAGCTTTAGATTTGGTGACCCACAGCCCACAGTGTTGTAATATTTTCAAGAAGTCCTTTTGTTGTCTGTTTATCTTACTGTCACAGCTGAGGGCTTTACTTCTGTAATTATATTAAGCAATCGCATTTTGTTTCTTGTTTTCCCCTCCACCTACATGTATAAAATTGCTATAGAAGAAAGTTTGGCGGAGTTTGACTTAAACAGCGTGTATATTTCACACAGTGGAATTTGTTTCTAGATGCCTGTATGGAACTAGAATTGCACAACCTCTAGATGTTGTCGAGGTAATACATTTGCAGAGTAAACATGTTTAATTGAACTCCATATATCAATAGACGGATCTAGTTTTTGCTTGAACTTTTCACTATGCAAACCCCAAGATAAATTCAACAACTTTGCGGTGCCAAAACGCTCTCGTGGTGTGCCTCAGCATAGCAAGCAATGCCGGAGTACAGATTTGAACCCCATTGTCACGCCCGACATAGTGTCACGTCTCGGGCGCGTGCCGTCACGGCAGGTGTGCCCAGGGAGACGCTGCTGCGGAAGGAGAGGTCACCGACCGCAACACGCCGCACCCGTCACCGTAGGTCAGGCTTTGCCGCAGAACACTGGATGTTAGATCGAATACAGCACGATACTTCAGGTACAGATTCTCGTAACCTTCCTGAAGCTGCCACCTTCTGTCCCTTTGTTCCGCGGTTGCATTTGTCCGCACCATGTAAGTTTGACGGCACCGACAACGTAAAGGGAGTAACACTGCATTGAGAACAGTATACTTGGTGTTCTTCTAAGGGATCGCCCAGAAAGTATGTCCGTTTTTCTTAGATTCATTCGGTTGATTCGTTAATTGGGGGAGCTCGGCGCCTGCGAGACCCAGGGTAGGCCACCCCGCAGTACACGCATGCACTGCAGACAAGACATTGCCTACCCATCAGGCGCTACGAGAGCTTGGCATCGGCTCAACTCAAAGTTTGGAGTTTCGTGACGGCAAACGACATATATCATCGCTGATCGCCTGTACGGCACCGGGCCAGACGTGTGACTGCACTGGAAACGCAAGTGTGTGGGTGTCGCACACTTGTCGATGTGTGAATTCCCACTCGTGCATTTACAGGAGTAAAGGTGTGATTTTTTCTTTGAATTTCACACTCTTATGCCTCCCCGCTTTTAAAAAAATTGTCGTTCACACACCTACAAGTGTGTGACATTCACACGCTTGGTACGTGCCTTGCTGCGCCAGCTGCGCCGGCTACACCGCTGCCCCGCTGGAGCCGGACGACTGCCAAGCAGCTAGTCGGGGACGACCCCGTTAAACCGTAGTAATCACGGCGTTGTGGTCCCCCGTTAGAGCAGCCAGCCCCGCCCCGCCCGAGCCCCTTCCATTTAACGCACCGTTCGATCACTCTGGTACCCGACGGTCAGCCCCGCCGCGCCGCGCCGCCGCGCCCCACACGCACTCCTTGACTCTTGTCGCGCCGCCGTGCCGCGCGGCCGTCCTCTCGGCGCTGGCTCGCTCTGGCCACTCCCCTTTGAACAAGTGGGACTGCTGGACAAGCTGGACTCCGATGCCTGCCCGTCAGCCAACTGTGACTTGTAAAACCCTCTCCAACGCGTTACCGCGAGCCTGTCTCCAAATCCACCACACAGAAAGCTCCTAAGCTCGTGTGTTTCGTAATATTTGGCATTGGAGCTGTTTTGGACTGCTTTTCGCGGTCACCGGGACAATCCAAAGCCCGCACCTACTGTATAGATTATTCATGAGTCGCGCATTTCGTTTCTCTTGGGAGGGTAACGCTTGCTGTCGCCTGCCGTGCTTTCGCCTCTTTGAGTGACGATTTTGGAACATGGCTTTATTTAAATAACGCACGTCCACATATTAAGCGATGTTCTATAATCATAAATGGAATGACGAAAACGAACGTCGCTCTGGGCAATGATAAATTCCGTCTCTCCTTTTAGATGAGACACATCACTTAGCAACTCCAGCGCCGCGGCCTGGCTTCGACCCGACTTCGCGCGCCGCGCGCCCCAAATCTAAAACAGGTGATCATCATCCTAGATGGAAGATGCTGATCAGTCGAACGGTAAAGCAGAGTTTTATTTTCTCTCTCTATCTTTCTGGAGCCTCTGCGCCGTTCCGATGCAGCTAGCGCCCGTGAAATCAGGGGCACCCCGGAAACTCTGGTGTGTCAGGCAGAAGGCATGCAAAAACAAAATCCCAAAAGTTGTCCTAAAATTCCGTGTAATCTCCGCGTGTAATCTCTGCTTTCCGTTCTGTGGAGAGCCCTATGCTGGATGTGATGTTCTCTCGTAAAAACAAATGACACAGTCTATATGGCGACGGCGACGCACAGGTCAGCCGAGGGCGCCGCTGTAGCGTCACCTTAGCCACCCAAACCCCAATCTCTAGACACTGTTAACTCTTTTTCTTGTTATACTGTGTACCGCAGTACCGCACCGCATGCAGACGTGCGGACGGGTTTGCCTAACGACGCCCACCACGGGGCCGTCCGTATGACCCCGTGCAACCCGTCCGCGCACAAGACTGCATTCGGTATGGTATAACCAGAATAAAAAGTTCGGCGCACAACGGCCACCCTGGAGGCTGTCATGTTTTGTTGTGTTCCCCGGCTGTGCACTTCTCTTTGGTTTCTCGGCACACCAGGACGTGCAGCAGTGTTTATTTGGGCCCCCGCGGCATGTGCCGGAGCCGAGCCGATAGAGTAATATAGGAAACGGGGGCGTAGAAAGGGGAAGTGGGGAGAGAAAGGTATCGGGGAGGGGAGGGAGGTGCGTCCCATCTCCCCCTCTCTCCCCCTCTCTCCCCCTCTCTGCCCCTCTCTCCAGGGCCAGGGCCAAGGCAGTCGCGCCCGGTCGGGCCGGGGGCCGGGGGCCCCGCCAGTGCTTTCTCGGCCGCGTCGAGGGCAGGACGGCGTTGAAGCAGAGAGCAGCAAACGTGCGAGTCTTTCGGCGTCATCTGGGCCTCGTCTAGCGGATGTCGTGACCGAGTGCGTACGTGTGCGTGTGTGTGTGCGCGCGCGCGTGTGAGTGCGAGTGTGTGTGAGTGAGTGGTTGACTGACGGCTGCTGGTGACCCAGCCGATGAAAAAATGGATATAACGCTCTTCACGTTGGTGAGTCCTGTTCGTTGCCGTTATGTAATACGCATACATGGCCGTGTACTCGTTTGTTATGGGTTCGAATAAGGGAAGACCAGTAGAACTCCGTTAGCGAAGTACGGTGCCCTGCCCACCCCGTGCCGCGGGCAGCCTGGCGACCAGAGTTAGAGAGAAGGATGCAGACAGAGGATTCTTGTCGTTTTAACGATTTCACCAACTCGACGTGAGTTCGACCCTTATTGGAAACGGTGGCGTTATGTACATCAAAGAACCACTGTACCAGGTGGCTGATCAACCCCGCGAGCGACTTCTGTTGGGGTGGTCCACAGACCCCTTCCTTTACTTTGCCTATACTGTACCGTATGCAGGCCTGCGGGCGGGCTTGCCTACCGCGTACGGCGCCTTATGACTCCATGTGAGTATGCAACCCACCCGCACGCCTGCATGCGGTACAGTATAAGCAAAATAAAGGAAGGGGCCTGTGGACCCTGTACTGTACCGCATTCCCTCGAGCGGGTGGGTTGCCCACTCTTTCGGCCCGTAAGGCGCCATGGTCAGGGCTGATAGGAAAGGCCGCACGCACGCCCGCCGTGATGTATAGCATAACTACGGAAGTGCGCGGGGTTAATCAGCCCCCTGGTAGAATGTGTGGCCACGTCGGCGACTCACCTGGAAGGAGAGAGGCACTCCAGGGCGTCTTGTGGCGCTGACGCCGATGGCGTCTGGGTGGTCCGAGCCGAGCCGAGCAGGAGGTCCCTGGAGCGGGAAGGCTGGTAGGCACTTAAGCGCCGGCATGCGTCTTGATACTTGTCGTTTTAATCCCCAAGGTTTCCATGACAAGAGGGAAGGACCCTTTCGAATAGGGATTGTGGTGTCTTGTGTCTAAAGATAATAATGTTGTTCGTTGTCCTGTGCTATGCAGGGAGGAACCTTTTCCACGTCAAAAATTCCTCCATAAATAAGGCTTTCTCCTGGGGCCCACCCCGCACAAGCACAAAGTTTTTAGCTGCAGGAAGTTGCAAACAGTTTTAACAGCAGAGTTTACTGAGCGACACGGCATTCGATTCCTATCAAAAGTGTGGGTACTAAGGCAGGTCATCTAATCAGGACATCACACTGAGGACGAGCAGCAGTAGAGGCGGGGCGGCGTGGCGTGGCGGGGGTTGGGCTTCGCGAAAGGCTAGAGGGCCAGACTCCACGGCGGCGGGCTGCGCGGGCTGCACGGGCTCCGGTTCCACTAGGAGTCACCGGAGAGGAACACGCTGCTGCGCATAGAAAAGCATGGCCGAGCATGGCAAAGCCCCCAACAGGACGGCGCACTGGCGCACTTGGTGGGGTGGCGGCGGGGAAGCACCAGCCGCACGGGCGAAGGTGGAGCTCCCGGCGTCCTCAGGCAAAACGCAATTTGCGAACTATCCCTGCTTGCCTTAAGTGTCCGGTTGGAATGTTAAATGGTAAAATGTAGGTAACGGCGGAGAGGAAAAGGGCAGGGCCTCACCTCAACTGGTGCGGAAAATGACTTTCTTTCTCGTTCTCGTGCTTCCGTTAATTGACCGTGAAATCACAGTTTGACTTTAATCTTTGCTTTGATTGTTGTAGTTCCCATCACTTCAACGTTCACATAGAGCTTTTCTTTTAAAAATTGGTTAACTTGAGTAAAATAATTATTTTTTTCCGAATAGCCAAGCTTTGATAAATGTGAAACTTAGTGTCACTGTGACTGTGACCAGCTTGGTCGACGCCCAACAGCACTCCTTTAGAGCCATTAGAGGAGGCATCCAGGGCAGGCTCGGATCAAGATCAAGGTCCCGGCGACCCTGAACTTGCACCGGGCATCCAAGAGGGCCGGGGCAGCCGGAGCTGTAGAGCCACAGCTCTGTGGCGGCCGCAGAGGGGCCAGGGCTCGGGCCAGGGCGAGGAAGAGGGTTACTGGTACGGGTTACAGACAGCGGTCCGCAGCCCAGCCGCACCAGCCACAAAATCTCAATTACGACTGTGATATCATCGGCGTGTCACTGCGGTATGCGCGACCTACGATAAAGGATAATTGCGCTTATAATATCCTGACGTTGTGCGTTACGGAGAGTCCCGGAATGGAGGCGGTGGAGAAAGTGTGCGGTGCGAGGCAAAGGGCGTCGAGGAGGACAATGAGGGGAGGGGGAGGAGGTGAAAGGAGGGGGGAAGGAGGGGGCGGGGCTGGAATCTGCATGTGACCAAAATAAACGCGTCCAGCCGGGCCGGCCGCCGGGCCGGATCAGCTGGGCAGCGGAATGCG